CCCAACGGTGAGGAGGAACGGAGGAGGAGGGGTGGGAGATCAATGGCCCAAGGTCAGAGGGCTGCAAGGGACAGGGCCAGACGTCCCACCCATGTCTCTGAAGCCAGAGCACTGTCTTTCTCTTAAACATGGCAGCTGTCGTTTTTAGAGCAATTCTTGCTGGAAGGTGATGGAAGACGACTCTTATTCTGTGATGCTATGCATGTTCCCCTGCACATTCTCCCTGCCCCCCACCACCATATACTCCTTTTCCCTCTCCCTGTTCCTCCCCATTCTCCCATTGTTCTTCATGTCCAGAAGAAAGCAGCAGCTCTCCTGGAAGCCAGTGTTTCTTTAACTGGACCTGAGGAGAAAAGAAAGGCTGGCAGTATGCAGCCCCTCCCCATCGGCTGCCTCATGCCCTTCCGACCGTGGACACCCCCCACCCCGCCTGCCCCAGTGGGCCAAGGTGAAAGGCATTGCACAAACCCTTCTGCGAGTCATTCTGGCTAGGATGTGGTAGTCTTAAAGTCTCCGTGTATGTTCATAGATCATTACACTGTTTGCATTTCCTATGGTGACCGACGAAAGGACTTCCTTTCCTTGAAGAAGAGCTGAATGGGCCAGTTTAGATAAGATAGAGCCTTTAATCTTTGGACAGTGCCCAGGCTGAGCTGGACATGGGTGCTGCTGTGTCTTGTGTCAGTCTGCTGATAGTGTGAGGGAAAGTAAAGTGTAAATGCCTGGTGAGTTGAAGAGAGGCAAACATACAAAATCTGGCTTTGAGTAGAGGATCCCACCATATGAGCCTCCTTTCAACTACGAGCTTGAGGAAAGGGGTAGAAAAGCTTTGTTCACCCAGGTGACAATACCAATGATGGCCTCTTCCAGGAGAAGCCTGACTGAGGCAGGACAAGGACCAAAGAAAGGTGCCTGTAAAGCCAAAATAACTGTCAATACATTTTGAATCTTTTGGATTGAGAAGTAAATAATAAAGAATATAAGATGTGACTTTTAGTTTCCATATTTATATTGATGGCCCACTTAAATTTATGCTGCTTAAGGTCAGGTTGCCTCTTGGGAGGAGAATAGAGAGGAGTATGACAGGCTGTAGCAGTTTTCCACATCATTGCCTGAAATCTCCGAAAGAATCTGAGAGAGTGCATTGATTTTGTATTGCTGAGAACAAATCATCCCCAAATCTAGTAGATTGATACAGTAACTTTTTTTTTTTTTTTTTGCTTATGGTTCTGTGAGCCAAAAATTTGGGATGGGTTTAGCCATGCAGCTCTTATGGTAGTCTCACTGTGGTCACTCATACAGCTGTAGTCTTCTGGCGGTGAGAAGGTGACCGGTCATGCTAAAATGAGTCACTTACCTCAGTCAGGGTCGGCTGCCAGCAGAGCAACATGTATTTTAGGCTTTCTTGGGTTCCTTCACATGGTGGCGAGGTTCTAGAAACAGTGAGCAATTGAGGGGAAACCCAGTATGCAAGTGCTTTTCAAGCTTTTGACTTTGTGTCATGTTGGCTGGTAGTCCACTGGCCACGTCAAGTCACGTAGCCTGGTCTGGAGTCATCCTGGGATGCAGCCACATGAGGGCATGGATGGATAACTGGAGACATGATTCATTGTAGCGATGTTTGCAGGAGAGTTTATTGTAGGTACATATTTGAAAATTAGAGTAGATATGTTGGACTGCAGGTGTTCTACCTTCACAGGGATTTTGTAACATACGGGAATGAAACTTATCAAGTATCATCATCCCCACCCTGCGGCCCAGCCCCCTCTCCCCCCTGCCCCGCTCAGCAATGAGCTGGGATACCCAAAGCTATCTCATCCCTTTCTCATTCAAAAGGAACAAAATCTCAAATATAAATTCTTTCCAGATGCTTATACTTGATTTGCTGCTCTTCCTTAGGAAGTAAATGATGTTTTTAGTTCTGGTGCCTAGGTAATGTTTCCATTTTCTCTAAGTGGGTGCCCCCAGAGAATCAGTTGCTTCTGAAATGACTGAGGAACTCAAAGACTAATGGAGGTTAACTAGGGGAGATGCTCCTATCCCACATTTAATAAAAATAGAGTAGAGTTATGCAAGTATGTAGATAAGCTAATCATCTGACCTAATCAGCAATGCAGATTTTAAAAAGCCTTTCTAATTACTTCCTCAGCTTGGCTGAAGGTATGGGTAAAAAGAGTTTCCCAGCATGCTGGTAGCAGATGTATTTCATAATATTTATTGAAAATATTGGAAAGAAATCCTCAATTATGATGATCCTGAAAAGTACATCAAAAAAGATATCATATTTAACATATTTTAAACTTTCATTAAGATATAAACATAACATATTTTAGATCATCAACTCTCCCACCAGTTATTTGGAATCATTATTACAATTAGACTTCAGCTCTCAGAGCCAGATTGCTTATTGGTTAACTGCCTGTGTCTTCTCTGAGTTGTGTTACTTATCCATGAAAGCTCTAGTTCTCTTGGACAAAATGGGACCACCGCAATAGTCTCCGTTCTTTAGCTGTTTGTTAATCTGGTATCTTGGCAAAAGAGTCCTAGTGCATGATGTTTCAACAACTTTAAATGTTAAGTTGCTGACATTTACAGGCATATGTAACACCACACAATATGTGATTTGGAAGCCTAGATAGATCTGATACTCATTTTCTTGGCAGAATTTGAGTAGTCATGAATGACTGTCAAATAAATCATTCTACAATAGAGTTGCCCAAAAAGAAGCTATCTACGAATTCCTGGTTGAAATGCCTATGTCATTCCTGTGTGCTGTGCTCCTTGAGGGACAGTTTTTCATCTTTACCTTCCATTCTGTGAGCTGCTCGGTATCTTTCCAGCACATTCTGTGTAATATAACATTGGCCTGAGTGAGTTGCCATTGCCCACAGTCAAAATAAATCTTAAATGAATTGGTCCATTAGTGCCTTTGGAGTGACTGAATGCTTCAGTAGCTCCCTGTTATCAGATGCTGTGGACCTGGTTACTGTCCTCTACAAAGCGCTTCTCCAACATCCGTCTTCTAGGGAATCTTCTTCAGAGATCAGATGGAAAATTAACAGTGTTTTGTGCCAGACAAAGACAACATTCAAAAACTCTTAATGAATGTCCCTGCGTGATTCCTGGCATTTGGGAAAGTGAATGCTGCGTTTTGGAGAAGCGAGTGCTGAGTCATAGGACGGTGACTGGTTTTATTTGAGGACAAGGCCAGGAAATATAGATAATCCAATATACAGTTTACTTTATTGGCTAGTGACTTTGAAACTACAACATGTCATCAACTGGAAGTCATAAGATGTGACACTCTTGTATGCCCAGACTGTTAAATCTCTACATCATAGCTTCTCAACTTGGGTGCTTTTGGCATTTCAGACTGGATAATTCTCTGTCATGGGGGACTGATTATCCTGTGTATTGTGGGATGTCTAGCACCGTCTTTGACTTGTACCCCCTGGATGCCAAGAGCATTTCCTTTCCGTGGAGTCACTACAAATCAGATTGTCACAAGCCAGACATTGCCAAATGTCTCCTGGGGGAAGGGGGGCAATTTTGTCCTCAGTTGAAGACCACTGCTTTAGATTATTTGAATGATTTTCTCTTTCAGCTAACATTTATGAGGTACTTCTTTGTTAAAAAATACATTTTGGTATGTTTATATTTACAGACATAATATATGTCAGATACACTAAAGCAGTGGGTTCAACAGATGAAAGTTCCTTCCTGACCAAGTTTAGTTAGAAATATGTGGAAACTCTCTTGGTTTTTCTTTTTGTATTTTACGTATTAGGTAGAATCACGAGAAATTTTCTTTTTGTGGGTTTAAAAAAAAGGTAAAATATCACCATTTCCCAGTGTTTTTACCTAATGTATAATTTATAGTAATAATGATTTGAGAAAAAAAATTATAAGCGTACCCAGATGTCATCATGGTTACCATGATTTTAAGTGTATTTTGCTTTCCTTTGCAAGCAGTGATGGTTTTAGAAATTTCTTCTAGGCAGGTTTGAAGAGCCAACAGTCTGGCTGCCGCTGGCTGGGGCTGAAGTCATATATTTTAATAATGTGATTGCGTAGCTTGTGCAATACTTCTAATTTAGAAGCTGTGCTTATTTTGTGCTTGAGGTGAGGGCTAATGGAAATCTTAGACGGCGGTGGATACTAAAACTGTTCATTGGGAGGAGGAAGTGGAAATGAAATCTAAATTTTAAAAATATGCATTCACATATTAAATGTTGATGGTAATCCTTTCATTTGAAAGGATCTGATGGTCTCAGTCAACAGGGGTCATAGAACATCAGGCTATTTCTTGCTTTGTTGGCAAGTTTATGGTGGGAGGAGAATTATATCTGGAAATGCCTTTCTGAAAAATGAAATCGAAATGGAGATGAACACTTTCTAGCACATAAAACATAGCCGCTGTCATTTTTGTGTGCTCTAGATCTCTACTTAGAACAGTAATGAACTGTGAGACAGTATTCATTGAAGTATGAAAAATACCTAAAACTTTATGTTAGTCTTGTAAACCTTGTTCTTCCTTAAGCTTATTAAGAAAGCTGTAGGCAGATAAAATCTCCTCTCCCTTGGCTCTCCGACCTTCCAGGGAATGCACTAACCAGTAGTGAAATGGCCAGAACTCTGGCAGCAGAAGCAAGAAGGAAGAGCCAGGGGGTTGCAGAGTAATTCAAGAGCTACCTAATCAGCTTCTGACCACTCAAAAGTTGGTAATGTTGTAGATTTTGTAGTTCGTATTCTGTAATCGTCCCCTGAAACTGTGGAGAGCCGACGGAGGTTCTGTAAATCAAATGAACAGGAAAAAAAAAGAAAAGTCCATAAATGCTCAGTACATAAAATGCACCACTTTCATGAATTCCTGGGATTTCTAGAGAGTTCCCTGTGCGTGATAGGCATAGAAGAGAGATGCCATGCTTGATGTTGGTCCAGGACAAGGTGAACTTTGTGCACACTAATTTTAATTCATTATATATGCCTTTTTTTCCCAGCACAAATGGACCCCCGAGGCCTATCTCCCAGACAGAGTAAAAGTGACAGTGACGATGATGACCTGCCAAATGTGACCTTAGATAGCGTTAATGAGACTGGATCTACGGCCCTTTCCATAGCCAGAGCAGTACAAGAGTAAGTACCACGTTCTCAGGATGAAATGAGACTCGCCGAGGTGTGCAGTGGGTAATGGAAGCAGCAGTACCTCCTGTTCCCAGGACTTGCCCCTCTCACTCGCGACGGGCTCGCGCGTCAGCATCCTTCCACCCCGGCTTACGTTCTCTGGGAGCAGGTTAGGCATGAAGTATTTTGCGTAGTTGAAAATCTGTGCGTTTATTAGAAATGAGGCGCCTGTGCATCTCTGCTAATACTTCCTACCTCTTCTCCTTAACTCTGAAAAAAATACATTGTTCTTTTTGAATGTTGCCATCCAATTACTGCCCTCATTGTTATCGTTCATTTACAACAGTCGAGAGAAATAAAATATGGCAAGTATGATGATCTTGTTTTGATAGGAGAGTGCAGAACAGCTTTTCTGAAATGATAAATTTGGAAGCTGATGTCTCACCACTTTGAAAAATCAGAATCGTGTGTGATTTTTGAAAAGATCTTTTCTCTCTCCTTATATCTGGACCATCGAGTTAGATTTCATCCTTGTTAATCAAAGATAGTTGCTTTTCCATCATTGTTGATTCCGAATCTAGAATCGAACCGGTGGCTAGTCCTTGTATATTTTTTCTCTGGAGTAATTTTTAATAACATAATCTTACATAAGAGTAGGACTTAAATCGCCACTGCTGTAGCTGGCACATGAGTTATCGGGTCACTGAAAATGATCTTAGTCACTTTCCATATTTTAATTCCTTTTCCCAAATATTGACTAAGTTGTGACTCTGCTCTGTGCCTTAGTCTTTGAAATCTTTAAAACACACACACACACACACACACACACACACACACACACGACTATGACATTTTAGAATTTAGAGCATATGTGTGTGTGTAAAGTGAATAATATGTTTCTATGTTCCATGGGTCATACATAGTATATATTTATGTGATATATGTCTGTGCACACATACAAATACATATGGTATGTTAGGGGAAGTAGGATATAATGGATCTAAAATGAAATTTAGAGTCAGAAACATTTGAATTCAAATTTACATTTAAGCTCTTAATGGTTATGTGACTTTGGCAAGTTATTTAACCACTCTGAGATGTTTCTTCATCTGTATAAGAAAATCAATATACTTACCTTGTAGCCTGGTATGAGGATGTAATATAGTTATAAGATATAAAAATCAAGTCACAGAATTTTGGTACATAGAAGGCTTCAATTGACTATGGAATTAGTATTATAATTATATAATAGTGTGTAGTATATGACAGTTAGGAAATTAATGTGTGGCAAATGTTGTTATTCTAATTGTACAAATGAAAACACTCAGAATCAGAGAAGTTAAATGACTCCTCCAAAGTCCTATAATAAGTTGTAGTAAGACAAAAGTTTGGACTTCTGACTCCCAAACAGAGCTTTTCCTAACAGTACCTGTCGTGTTTGTTTCCAGTAATATTCTTGTACTTCAACACCTATAGAAAGCATTGTTTCAGTCAAATAACTGGTTATAGTCACCTAGTTTCTCCAAAGCAAATGTTCATTTGCCAGGATAGGCATGGAATCCAAGGGGTTGCTGAAATCATGTTTGAAAAGATGGCACGCTGAGTCACCTCATTGCTCATTCAGTGATCAGCACAGTTTAATATGGTTTTGTGTGACCTAAATCTTAAGATCCATCTTTAAAATTAGACTCAATGATGACAGGCTTCAATCCTAAAATGAATAGTACGTTTCAGAGACATTTTAGTCATATTGTTTTCCTATATCATTATAATACATGTATAATTTCTGTGTGTGTGTGTGTATGTGTATGTGTGTGTGTGTGTGTTTACAGAGGTGGGTGTGTTTTTTTTTTAGTTCAAACTTTAAAGTTGGGAACTATAATTACGAACATCTAAATTATGTTTACTTTATTTGGGACTTAGCATATAATGATATTAACTTTTTAAACATAACTTTTTTTTTTTGCTTTTAATATTATGTGCTTATAATATGTAGTGTATTTTAATGTGAAACGTTTAATAGCAGCCTCAAGAACTGGAGCCTCATTTTCAGCCTAACCTCTCAGCCTTGCTTTGTGAAAAAATTTTCAAGGCACAGTAGCTTGTATAACTGCATATGCCTGCCTTTATTACTGTTTCAAAAGTTGCCTGTGTATCTAGGGAAATGCCAGATTCGTTATTCATGTAAGTGTTTTCATTAAACGATTAGTAAAGAATACTGAGCCGTCACCTGGGAAGCCCAAGAACGCCAGGACCCATCAATAGTTAATTAAGTCTCATTCAAGACGCAGTGTGTATATGCAAACACCAGGAAGTGAGAAGATAGTGTTAGATGAAGCAAGAAGAATGCTCTGCAGAGACCTCTTACATATGGGTGTATTTCAAAACTTACAGTAATACATTGAGGAAAATTTTATTCTGGGACAAATAAAGATATAATCCTTGTTAGACACATTTAAAAAAAAAAAAATCTGTACTTAGGTTTACCCGAAGTTAACTTTCAGTGTACATCTTTCTGCTTCTTAGTTTCTCCTTGATTCTTTAATGCATATTACTGTTGGTGATTTTCTGTTTTCACTTTTCCTGTTTGCCTTTGGAACTTGATGCCTTCTGTTAATTCAAAAGCTATCAAACAAAAATTCCAGTGTACTATGGTCAATAAAACAATGCATTAATAATCGTGTAAAACATTAGCTTGGCATATACAAGATGAAAGGATTTCAAAAGACACCCGTTGACCTCTTCCCTGTACTTGCAAAACTTTCTTGAGAGAGTTAGATTCAGAAGTCTATCTACAGATAGAGAGGCAATGGTATCAAAGGGTTATGTTTATTAGAGGTAGCATACTTTCAAAGCCTTGGGCAACCAGGACACAGTTGGCTTTCCCATCAAAGGGAAAAGGAATCATGGTTTAGAAAGTGTTCCAAGGTGGGCCTCTTAATTCATTGGCCGCCAGTGAAGTGTTAATCAAGGAGGAGAAGAAGATGAGGAAGGAGGATATTAGGGAAGATTGACACTAGAAATGGATGAAACTGCCTTGTCCTTAACCTGTCCCTACAACAAGATGCTAACCCGCACGGTAGATGCTCTTGTCTTCTTTCCCATTCAGGTGCAGAGTCTTGTCAATAATCACTGCAGTTTGAGTTTTTAATTAAGTGACTTACATTATTGACATTAGTATATCAACATAGCATAAACCTTAATATATGAATATATATTTTTTCTAAATGACTGTTACTGTGCATTTTACTGTTTTTGTTTTATTTTATTTTATTTTTTTAAAGATTTATTTATTCTGGATGGGGAAGGGATAGAGGGAGAGAGGGCAAGGGCTGAGCACAGACCTGCCACGGGGGTTGGATCTCAGCACCCTGAGATCATGACCTGAGACAAAATCATGAGTTGGGCGCTTAACTGATTGTGTCAGCCAGGCGCCCTTGCGTTTTACTTGTTCTTTTTTAAATGAACTTTTAATTCTTTAGTTTAAGAAGTATTTCCTTTGATTTGAAACACAGAAGTTGTTAGGCAAAATGGCATCCTCCCCGCCAGATACTCAGATATTTCTGTCTCTAAATAAAAAAGAACATCACTTGGTACTAGAGCAGCAACCTGAGGTCACTTTGATGTGTTTAGATTTATATAGTAAGGTTCCTGAACGATGCTTGGACTAATCATTTCAGCCATTTTCATTAATTTGCTTGATTATTGTTTATCAGCTCAGGATCCGTGAATTCAAAGACAATGGAAAAAGCCACAGAGAGGCCCACACACAGGCTCTGCCCTTTTCTTGTTTTAACTGTGCAGATACTGTCCAAGTCAGAAACCGTGTGTTCAATAATTCTGACAAAGCCAACTTCCAGCAATTCATAGAACATCTGTTTTGTTTTGGTCTTTTTTTTTTCCCCCCCGATGGTAAAATAGGGTCGTTACCCTTAACAACTTGACAAACATAATTATGAAATAAGTGTTTGGAAAAAGAGAAGTACAGACGCATGATGAGAGCAAATTATTGTAATTAACTCTCACCCCAGGCAAAACAATGATATTTTTTTAAATAGGTACAGTTTGGCTGTGTTACCCAGACCCTCTAATTTCTGTCTCCCTTTTTAATTCTTTCTCTCTAATTCCAAATATTCATACTCCTCATTGGTTAACAGGAGTAGAATAATCAACTTCATACAAACCAAAGTGTAAGTGAATGAGAATATCTCTTGAGAGAAATTTCAAAATAACCAGGAAAAAACCTTAATCTAGAAGAATAGGGACCGAGACACAGGCATCCCCTGTTTTCCTAAGTTCCTGTTATGCCACTCTGCTTTTACGAAAGACCTGTTAGCACCTGTTTTTGCTAACTGAAAGAAAGTGAAAGAGGATTTTCATCTTTACGAAAAAGATGAACAGCAAAAATAGTGCTGTGTGGTTTTTTGTTTTTTTTTTTGTTGTTGTTGCAGTAAGCCCTTAGAGAGGCAACGCATACTCTAACCAGAAAGAACAGCCCCACCAGACTCCCTCTGGGAGCCACACCCAGCATCTCAGCACCAGAGCTTTGAGCTGTGTTTGTGAGCAGCCCTGGTTTATCTCCTCTTACCCTGTGCCTCTGTCAGCAAGATGGGTCCTGAAGGTGTCACAGAGGCCTAAGACAGGGGGTCTGAGAGTCTGGGAATGCTCCAGAACTCTTCCATTTAAGTTAATGGTCATTGCCTCTTCGCTCTACACCATTTTGGCTTACAAAACGTTTCATAGGAACGTTCTACTTTTGGGTATTAGGGGAATCCTGTATTAGTACTTTCAGTAAGAGCAAGAGTGGAGGATGAGGGAAGCATTTGAAGATGTAGAGGAAATATACCTGTGTTACTCAGTGTCAGTCCTTAGAGGATTGGTGCGTGCGTGTTCCTGTTTAACTCCCACCACAGCTGAGGAGGCTTCCCTCTCTGATCTTTATTATAACTCTCAGAGGAAAGAAAAGCAACAAAATTTGTAGCATCAGTAACTTTGTGCTTTGGCTACCTTCC